AGGACACGTTGAAAACAACCATGATTCCTTGTTTTAGTAACTAGAATACATCTCTCTTTACTTAATATAATCCATGCCTTAATAGTGTTCCTTTACTTTCTTAATTTTAGAGGTAGAAACCCAAGCATCTGCTAAGCCAGTAAATTTTTAACAAAGATGCATTGGGGAGAAAAGAGGCATATTGAATGACAGTCTCTGCAGTATATGGCATAAGGCTTGGTTGCAGAGGAGGTACTCAATAAATATTGAATTGAGGTAAGATTTCGTCTTATGAGACTGTTCTGAGAAAGTCATAGTTTTAGCAGTAAAATATCCAGGAAAGCTTCACCAGTCTTCCTCCACTATTACAGTGCCCATTCTTCTCAAATGAGGGCAGTTTTGTGAGTGGTTCAGTGATGATTTGATCCTTTCTGACTTCATTGTTTACTAATCTTTAAAAGAATCTTTAAAAGAGTACCTATTTTTCTTTGATTAACAATGTAAAAGAGACTGCTTTGACATGGTTAAATTCCTAGGACCCTCAGTTCTTTAGGTGTAGACTAATGGCTAGTATCATTGCTCAGAAAATAGTCTTGGAGCATAGTGGAGTTTATGCTGAGAAGTCAAGTTCGTGGTTTTCATTTGTATCTTTTAAATCCATCTTTGCATGAGGTTCTTTTTCTTTATTTTATTTTATTTTTTTAATTTGTTAGAGGTTACGTGTGCTTGCCATTGAAAAATGGGGTCTGGTCACACCACAATTTCTTCTCCTCTATTCTCCACCTTATTGGGATTTTGAGCATGAACTGTGTGTGATGTTTTTCAAGGTGCTGGGGCTGGGATCTAAATTATGTGGTTGGCCATGTGAGGTCTGTCTCCCTTAACCAGTAGCCATAGAGTCAGTCCTCATGAACCTTTTTTTTTTTTGAGGGTAGGAATTTTTTTTTTTTTTTTTTTTTTTTTTTTGGCTATAGGGTGCCTACGCTCGCCAGACAGACAGAGAGAGACAGAGAGAAAACGAGCAATCACCCCACAGGGGGTATGGCCACGCCACAATCCCTTCTCCTCCAGTCTCCTCTTGGGATCTTGGGCATGCACGCACACGCGCTCAGCATGAGTTTAAGCCACTGGGTCCGGGACTTGAACCATGGTCGACTACGTGGGAGTCCAGCAACATAGCCATTACGCTAACTGCTGGTCCCAGTCCTCGTGAACTTTTGAAGTATCCTCATACTTATATATTTTCCAAAGTCTTTGAGTTTTATCATTTCTTTCTTTCTTTTTTTAAGAAGTTTTTGTTATAGGGCGTGTGCACTCACCAGAGAGACAGAAAGCGAGAAATTGTCCCCCCCTTCCCTGCAGAGGGGATGGCCACACCTCAATACTTTCTTCATTCTCTCAGGATTTGGGGTTCATACACACATGCACCGAGCATGAGTTTTAAGCCTACAAGTCCAGGACTTGAACCATGGTTGACTACATGGCAGTCCAGCGACTTAACCATTATGCCATCTACTGTTCCCTGGTTTTTATCATTTCTTAAAAAAAAAACAAAAAAAAAAACAAAAAAAACTTTTCGCCTCAAATTTTACCAGTTACTAGCATAAACATAAAGTTTATTTCCTTTCCTTTTTTTCCTTTTAAGAATTGTATAGTGTTTTTGGCTTTTTTGTTTAGGATATTAGGTAAAAGGAAAGAGAACGATAAGAGATTTTCTTTCATTATTCCTGCCCATTATACCAACTTCCTACCTGAAAATGAATTTAGCAAAACTACATTGTTGAATCAGTGATTTAAATTTTATCTCCTTTTTTTATTTAAAGCTAGAGATTGGAGTAATTATCACTTGCCTTAGACAGGAGATATAGAACTTAGTTTATTCTTTGCAAAGATTTTTATTTGTTGTCAGTTGCATTCAAGAGAAGGATTAAAAATGTGGAGTTCCTTTTATATATTCCCCTATCCTTAAAAAATACTCTTATTATGAAAATCTTCAAACATACAGAGAAGTTAAAAGAATTGTGTAGGCGAGCCTTGTCATATCTATCCATTAGTTCATTTTTTCCTGATACATTTCAAAGTAAGTTATGGACATCAGTATACTTCATCCCTAAATATTTAAACATTCATTTTATTCCTTCCTCTCTTGGATCCTGATCTGGATCCTTTAAGGTTAAGGCTAGTATTTTATAGTTGTGTATCTTTCATCACTGCTACTTTTTAAAACAAAAGGTGCCTCTTGGAAGGCTTGTGACACGTGATTAGCAAGATTCAAAAGAAGGTTGTAGGCGGTTTTTATGTGCCTTGTACTGCTGCATTAATTCTTGTTTTCTGTAAGGACTGTTGCATGATGCTGTCTGGGACAAATTATATCTTATTTATTGGAAAAAAAATTTAAGAACTGAAGGTGGAACTACTCTAAAAGGATCAAATATGGTGCAGCCAAACAGGTCTATATGTATTATGAATAAGTAGGCATGAGAGGTATGTCCTAATATCTGGTTTTATTTTCCATGTGAAAAAATATTTTAAACACTTCTCTCTTTTGACGACTATATTTATAGTTTTTAATTTGCCAGAGGACAAGTGTGCTTGTCATTGAGAGAGAAAAGGAATGCAAGAAAGCATCCCTCAAAGGGGCATGGTCACATCATAATCCCTTCTCCTTAATATCTCTCTCCTTTTGGGACTTGGGACATGCACACACACACTTGGTACATTTTTCAAGCCTGTTGGTCCAGAACTTGCACTTGGTTAGGTATTGTGCGATACAGCTGCCCTAACCCCTAGGCCACAGGCTGGCCCCAACCACTATTTTAATTATGATTGCACTATCTAAGAATTAAATGTTTATAAGTAATGCAAGAGATTTATCGAAATTTTGGTGCAAATAAAGACTCCTGCTGATCTTTTTTGTATATCATCATAGCCTTGTGATCTTTTAATATGATAATTCAAGCCCTAAATATCAGAGAGACTATTGACAGATCACTAAGCACTGCTTCCTGGGCATTTTGACTAGTGCACCTTTTAGAGAGAGTTCCTCAGAGCCTAATTCTTCCAGAGATACTGCTTGATTCTTGCTGGCCCTCCCTCAAAAATGTGTTTTTGTTTGTTTGTTTGTTTGTTTGTTTGTTTTTAAAGAGAGATTTTTGCTATAGGACATGAGTGCTTACTGGAGGGAGAGAGAGGTGGAAAACGAGAAATCACCCCTCAGGGGGGATGGCTATGCCACAATCTCTTTTCCATTCTCCTCTCGGGATTTTGGGCTTATTTGTACTTGAGCCCAGTGTGAGTTTTAAGCCACAGGATCTGGAACTCGAACCATTTCTCCATCTACTGGTCCTGCCCCTTCATAAAGTTTTATATGGGCTGCGTTTTAAATCTTCTCTTTTTCTTTGTATTTTTAGAAAATAATTTAAAATTTAGAAATGGCAACTTCAGTATGAAACTGTTCTCCAGTATGTCCACATTTTGTTCTAGAGAGAAATTAAAATTAAACTTATTAATGTTAAGTTTAAACTGGAAATATACTTGATTTGGAACACTAACACTAAATTGTGGTATTACTACCTCTAGTTGAACCTGCTGTTCTTTTAGTGTTCAAAAGAGGTATTTTGTTAGGAGATTCCTTTTTATAGGTATAGTTTACTAATTGAAGACATTGAATGTTAACATTAACACTGGCTGGTTGGTTGGTTGGTTTTTAAAATTTGTGTTGGAAGGAAGGTGGGAAAGAGAGAAAACCACCTCCCCATGGGGGATGCTCACACCCTAATCCCGTCCCCATTTCTCCCTCCTTTTGGGATTTTGGGCATGTAGACACATGTGTCTGGTGTGTTTATTTAAACTGCTGGATTCCAGACTCAAATATGGATGGAGTCAACCATGTGGGATCCAGCTGCCTTAACCAGCACGCCACTGGCTGGCCCAGTACTAGCTTCTTAATATATACGTGAAATTCCTTGAGGTCTAGAGACTAAATGATAAAACTTTTATTAATTATGCTATTATTGTTTTAGGGGAGCTAAGGAGTAAACTGAAACCAGTTCCATGATGTTTATAGTGCAGTCATTTTTATTATCTGGAAAGTGATGAATAATAGCAGTTTATCCTAATTTTAGTTTGACAATATCTACATGTTCTTTCAAATTCCTTGCTGAGATGGTGAGTTTTTGTTTTTACATTTTTAGACAATTGACAGTACCCTTCTTTTTACGGTGCTCTCTGGTTTTGCCTGCAGCCTGCATCCTAGGGCAACTTGGTATGGGCTGGGACCAAGTGTCACTCAAAAAAAGGACTGTTCATTGCTAGTAGGTATAAGGACTGAGTAGGGCTCATTGAATGGAATCAGGAACCATCTTTGTTCCTACAGAATGACATTTTTGGTTGTTTGAAATTCATTTATTTGGCAGCTATGTTCTGATAGAAGATAAAATAGCCAAATTGAGATGATTTTGTTACATATTACCTCTACCTAATTTCTTCTGCCTCCTGTTTTATTATTTACTTACCTTAATCACATCAATATGAGGAAGTGAAGAATTTGATAATTTCACAGTTTTCAGCCTACAGTTTTTCTGTTGTGGATTAAAGCATCTGGTTAAATTTTGTCTTCATGATTTCTACTCCATAGCCAGTGTTTATTCACTCGAAAGCTGTATTAGAATCCTTATTTCCCTTCACACATTAGACCCTTCACTGTTGCTCTTAATTTCCACATTTTGTATTTAGTCCTTATGATCTACCTTAGAAAGCACTAATTCTCAAGACGTGAGTATTCTACTTCTAAATGCCCAACTCTGGATCACCTTAATTCTTTAATAATGTGTGGTAGAGTTATGCCATCTCTAAGGTTGGTAAATACAGGATTTTAAGATTAAAGCAATTTAATCTTTAAATTGTTAAAAATTAGGTTTCTGATTGGCTTGTTTTATGATACGTAACGCCTGTTGGAAGAATTGTTAGTTTGTGTATTCATTTAGTGTTTGGTGTGTTTTACTTTTTGTTTTTGTCAACAGGAAGAAGGTAGATAAGGACTATAGTGCCCTTCAAGAAAGACTCAATACCTTGCCTGATAAGTTGTCTTATAATATCATGGTATGTTTGGTGTATTTTAAAGTGATATGTTGTTTCTTGTAAACATAATGACTATGTAAAATAATGTGATGTTTCTTTGTTGTATGTGTACTGGTTCACAAATTGCCAAGCTGATAGACTAGATCAGAAGTAATTACTGTAGCAAATAAGGCTAGTTTTGTTTTACTTTATGGTAAAATACACTGACTATAGTAATACTATTGTTTTTCAGATACATATAAAATGATCACGTGATGGTGACGGAAATGACATAAATGTTAGCAGAAAATTTGACATTTAAAATGCAAACTTACTACCTAAAACACACTATATTAATGACAGAAATACGGCACTTAGTCATTTCCTGTTAGTCAGAGTAAGAATAGGTGATAATGTTTTCTAACTCATAGAATTAAACCCTATAACATTGATTTTTATATAAAAAGGTGCAGCTAGTTTTTGTTTTAGTGATCTTTCATACTGACATAGTGATCTATTCATGAGCCCTGAATTAGAGTCTTTTATTACATGAATAGTCTTCCTCATGAAGTATTTGTTCTTGTTATAGTAGCCCAAATATTTTGTAAACATAGGTAAGTAGATTCATTAATGCTACTTGTTTAGTCTTGCTTTGCAAAAAAGTGGTTATTTTATTGGAAATAATTTTATCAGATGCATTCTTCATGGACAGTGTTATAGTTTTCTTTCATTTAGATCACAAGTGAATGGGAAGTATAAACATTCGCAGACAATGCTACTTTCTTTAAGAGCTGTGTATAAATAAGTGTGGTATGGATTTATTTTCCTGTTTAAATGTTCATTTATTAACCTGAAGCAATTTTCTATACATTTTTTCTAGTGAAATTTTAATGTAGTGTTAATTTCTATGAAGCAGACATTTTATTTTTCTTAGTGTTTAGATTAAAGAAAGATAATACTAATGTAAGGCTTTTAATTCTAAATGTTCCATAAAATGTATTTTTTAGTGTTTTTTTTTTTTAACATTTTTTTCTTTTTTTTTTCCTATGTTTTTCAACAATAGGTACCATTTGGTCCCTTTGCCTTCATGCCAGGAAAACTTGTTCATACTAATGAAGTCACTGTTTTACTTGGGGACAATTGGTTTGCAAAGTGCTCAGCAAAGCAGGCTGTAGGTTTAGTTGAGCATCGAAAAGAACGTAGGTACCAATTACAAATGATATTATGTTGTTGTATTTGTGTGGGTTCACAATTTGCCAAGCTGATAAACTGCTACTAAATGACCTTCCATGATTTATTAGTCCAGGCTATCTGTGATTTTGTTGAAGTAGAGCAGTTTGAGTAAAAACCAGCATTTGAGAATGAAGTGGAGAATGGAACACCTGGGTGGCAAATATCATCCACATTGACATGTTTTCAGAAATTACAAAGTATAGAAGTCATTACATGTGGTTTTGTAGATAGAAGCTTTGAAGACATAGAATTGAGGTCATTTTCTACTTTATAATTGGCTTGTTTTATTTGCTTTTATAGACTTTTGCTTTTAATACTTTAGTACACAGAAGTAATTGACTTTCTTTTTATGAACTAAGAGATATACCTATGTACAAAAGTAGACACTTCATTTTTTAAGGAACTTCAAAAATTACTGTTTAAAATACAAATGTTTTTTAGATTTTCTTAATGTACCTTCTAGCAAATTTTTTTCTTCCCCCTCTGGGAGTAGCAGTCCTACTTCTCTAATCTAGTTACTTCTATCTAAAACACTTAGAGCCTTTTTCCTTTCCTTCTCTTCTCTTCCCTTCCCTTCCCTTCCCTTCCCTTCCCTTCCCTTCCCTTCCCTTCCCTTCCCTTCCCTTCCCTTCCCTTCCCTTCCCTTCCCTTCCCTTCCCTTCCCTTCCCTTCCCTTCCCTTCCCTTCTCTTCTCTTCTCCCTTCTCCCTTCTCCCTTCTCCCTTCTCCTCTCCTCTTTTTTTTTCTTTTTCTTTTTCTTTTTCTTTTTCTTTTTCTTTTTCTTTTTCTTTTTCTTTTTCTTTTTCTTTTTCTTTTTCTTTTTCTTTTTCTTTTTCTTTTTCTTTTTCTTTTTCTTTTTCTTTTTCTTTTTCTTTTTCTTTTTCTTTTTCTTTTTCTTTTTCTTTTTCTTTTTCTTTTTCTTTTTCTTTTCTGCCCTTATCTTCTTTCTTTCCCGTGTTGTAACACTGACTTTTATTTTCATAGTCTGTTTATTTTTTTATATACAGTCACTATATATCATTACAGTTTGTAAAATTAATTTCCCCAGCATGAATATACTCTATATTAGTCCATTTAAAGCTATCATACCATGTTATCATTAACAGATAAGTTTCCATTTTTGTGTCCATTCGATGTTCTGCTTATTTCTTTTTTCCCCTTGATTCCTTTCTTCTCACCCTCCCATTTCCTACCTCCTCCCACACTGTCTCTAGTACCCACTGCTGTTCTCCATGCTTTTATATCTTCTAGTCTTTCAGTTTCTGCCATAGAGTGTGGACATTTGGTCTATACTCCAAGGGGAGACATACAGTGTCTCTCTTTCATACTCTGGCTTGCTTCACTTAGCAATAAATCTTCTATGTTCATACACTTTCTATCAAATGCCACAGTCTTTTTTTTAATGACTGAGTAGTATTTTGTAGTGTAAATGTGCCACATTTTTTCAGTCCATTCATCTGTTCATGGATTGGGTTGGTTCTATGTCTTAGCAATTGTGAATAATGCCACAAAAATGTGGATGTGCAAGAACTTTTCCGATGAATGTATTACTATTCTTTTGGAGATACCCAGGAGTGAAATTGATGGATTATATGGTAGTTGTATTTGTAGGTCTTTGAGTAACCTCCATATTATTCTCCATAGCGACTGTACTAATTTATATTCCCACCAACAATGTAGGAGAGTCCACTTTTTTTTTGAGAGAGATTTTTGCTTTAAGGGCATGTATGCTTAATGGAGAGACAAGGGAGAGAGAGAAAGTGAGAAATCACTACCCAGAGGGGTTGGCCACACCACAATCCTTTCTCTTCCATTCTCCTCTTGGAATTTTGGGCCCACACGCAAAAGCACCCATTGTGAGTTTTATGCTACTGGGTCTGGGACTTGAACTGTGGTTGGCTATGTGGGAGTCTAGTGATGTAACCATTACACCATCTGCTAGTCCCCAGCACTTATCATTTTTTGTTTTTTTAATCTCAGGTATTTCAACAAGTTAGGTGATATTTCATTGAGGTTTTATTTGCATTTTCTTTATGATAAGGAATGTGAAGCATTTTTACAAGTGCATTTTGACTCTATGTCTTCCTTAGAGAGTTGCCTGTTTAGCTCATTTGCCCATCTTTTAATTGTATTGATCATTTGTTTCTGGCTAAGCCACTTGAGTTCTCTCTATTTTCTGACTTTCAGTCCCTTATCTGAGGCATAGTTTGCAAGTATATTCTCCCTTTCTGAGGGTTGCCAACTCACTCTAATTCTTGTTTCTTTGCTGAGCAGAAGCGTTTAACCTGATAGAATCCCACTTGTCTGTTTTTGGATTTATTGTCAATGTTTTAGGGGCCTTACTTAAGAAGTCTTTGCCTGCTCCGATGTCCCCAAGAGTTTCTCCTGTGTTATCCACCAGTAGTTTTATAGTTAGGACCTTAAGTTTAGACCTGTGATCCATTTTAAATTGATTTTTGTTACTGGTGGAAGATAGGGGTTCCGTTTCATCTTTTTGCAGGTGGATATGCAGTTTTTTCAGTATCATTTGCTAAAGAGATTTTTTTAGAGGTTTTTGCCTTAGGGTGTGTGCACTCACAGGGGAGAGAGAGAAGTCCCCCTCCCCCTAAGGGGGGGTGAAACAGAGACCATGAGAGACAACATAAATCATCCCCCACAGGGGGTTTGGCTGTTCCGTAATCCCTTCTTCTCCATTCTCCTTCCAGAGTCTTGGGCACACACCATGTGTACCTGGCATGATTTTCAAGCCAGTGGGTCCAGGACTTGAATTTGGTTGGCCATGAGGGAGTCCAGCAGCATACCCATTAAATAAGATCCCTAAAACACTGGCAGTAAACCCCAAAACAGACCAGTGAGATTATAGTGTCTTTTGGACCCTAAAGAGATTTTCTTCTCCCCACCGGATTGACTGATTCCCTTTGTCAAAAATCAGTTAGCTGTATGTTTTGAGGTTTGTTTCTGAAGTCTCTATTCTATTCCATTGAACCACAGCTTATTTATGTGCCAATACCATGCTGTTTTGATTATCACAGCTTTGTAATACATTTTTGGGTCAGGGAGTGAAATGCCTCCCACCCCACTCTTCTCATGCAGTATTACTTAGGCAATATTGGGTCTTTTATGATTCCAGATGAATCTGTGATTGTTTTTTTTCTAAATCTATGAAGAATATCTGGTAATTTGATTGAGATTGTGTTAAATTTGTAGATTAATTTGCACAGGATTGACATTTTGATTATATTAAATAACAATCCAGGAATATGGGATGTCTTCCCAAATCTGTCTTGGTCTAGATGTATCTAGAAATGTGTCTAAAAATTTGTCCATCTCACCCAGATTTTCTTGTGTGTTGGTGTATAGTTGCTCATAATATTCTCTAATGATCTTTTGTATTTCTGTTATATTAGTTGTAATATTTCCTGTTTTGTTACAAATTTGATTTATCTGGTTCCTTTCTCTCTTTTTAAAAAAGTTATTTTATACATTCAATAACTGTTCATTACCATAGCTTGAAAAATGAATTTTTCCAGCATGAATACATTGCACACCAGGTCAGTTAGAGATATAATGCCCATTATCATCAACAGATAATCCTCCATTTCTGTGTCCCTTAAATGTCATGCCTCTCTATTTTTCTCCTTGATCCCTTTCTTCTCATGTTCCTCCACCTCTCACCCTCCTCCCACACTTGCAGATACACTTCAGTATCTCCAACTATTTTCTGTGCTTCTGTATCCTCTAATCCTTAAGTTTCTACCATAGAGTTCAGAAATTTAATATTTATTACGTGGAGACATACAGTGTCTCTTTCATAGTCTAACTTGCTTCACTCAGCAGTAAATCTCCAATATTTGTCCACTTTCTATCAAGTGCCAGGGTCCTGTTGTTTCTTATGGCTGAGTAATATTCCATAGTGTATATCTGCCACACTTTTTCAATCCATTCATCTGTTTGTGGACATTAGGGTTGGTTCCATGTCTTAGTAATTGTGAGTAATGCCCAATAAGCAGATGTGCAAGGACTTTTCCAACTGAGCGTTTTCCTATCCTTTTGTTAGATACCCAGGAGTAGAATTGCTGGATCATATGGTAGTTCTATTGTAGGCCTTTGAGAAACCTCCATATTGTTCTCCACAGTGGCTGTTCTAATTTACATTCCCACCAACAGTGTAGGAAAGTTCCCTTTTCGCACAACCTTGCCAGTACTCATCATTTTTTGTTCTTTAATCTTTGCTATTCTGACTAGGGTTAGGTGGTATTTCATTGTGGTTTTGAATTGCATTTGATTTTGCATTTATGATAAGGGATGTTGAGCATTTTTTCATATGCTTTTTGTTCGTTCATATGTCTCTCTAAGGAGAGTTGTTTGTTTAGCTCATTAGCCCTTCTTTTAATAAGATTGATCATTTCTTTCCAGTAAGCCACTTGAGTTCCCTGTATATTCTTGTTATCAATCCCTTTTCTGAGATGTAGTTTGCAAATATATTCTCTAGCTATTGGTGTATCAATTCTATCTATCTTTTCAAAGAGCCAGTTTTGGTTTCATTTATTTTCTGTATAATTCATTTATTCTCTTGTTTCATTTAGTTCTACATGAATCTTTATTATTTCTTTTCTCCTGGTGGTTCCCCACCCCCAGTTTCTTTTCTTACTTCCTTTCTTTTTTTTTGGAGAGGTTTTTCGCTATAGGGCGCGTGCGCTCGCCAGACAGACAGAGAGAGACATAGAGACCAGAAAGCGAGAAATCACCCCCCGGGGGGATGGTCACGCCGCAATCCCTTCTCCTCCGTTCTCTCGGGATCTTGGGCATGCACACACACGCGCGTGGCGTGAGTTTTAAGCCACCGGGTCTGGGACGTGAACCATGGTCGACTACGTGGGCGTTCAGCGACATAGCCATTATGCTAACTGCTGGTTCCCTTTTCCCCAGTTTCTTGAGGTGTGCTGTTAGGTTTCTGTTTGCCATCC